TAAAACCCAAGGTGTTTGTGTGTGGGGGTGTGTAGACAAGCACAGATCTGCGCTTCCCAGACATCATACCCACACAACACTGCTGTCTCCCCAGGCTTTGGCCGACTGCATTCCAACTGTAAGAGTTTATTCACATTTGTCTAGTGCTATGGAATAATCCTTTTGTTCACTGTGAAGACATGTTGCTTTCATTGTTAATAAAAAGCTGGTTGGCCGATGGCTCGGCAGGATTTTCAGGGCAGAGAGAATGCTGGGGAGAAGGGTGGAGTCAGAGGAGACGCCTTGAGACAGAGCGAGAAGGATGGGAAGTATGTACATGCAGTAAACAAACACAAATGAATAGAAATGGGTTAACTTCAGTTATAAGGGCTAGCTAAAAAACAAGCCTAAGCTATTAGACTGAGCTTTTATAATTAATATTAAGTCTCTGTGTGGTTATTTGGGAGTGGCTGCCGGGACACAGAACAGTTCGAGTACAATCTAGAACTGCTTGAACTTTTTTTTGTTGTTGTTGTTGTTTTTTGGTTTTTGGTTTTTTGAGACAGGGTTTCTCTGTGTAGCTTTGTGCCTTTCCGGGGTCTCGCTCTATAGACCAGGCTGACCTCAAACTCACAGAGATGCGCCTGCCTTTGCCTTCCGAGTGCTGGGATTAAAGGCGTGCACCACCACCACCCAGCCTAGAACTGCTTGAACTTTGAACACTTTTTCCAAGTGAAATGTTTTAGAAGAAAAATAAAACTCTTGCTTTTCTCGGAATTCAGCTTCTTTCTCCTGTTGCCAGTCATTTCTTCCCTTTTATTTTCTTCCTTTGTAACCAGCAGTTTTCTTCAGTGTAACCAAGGCTGGGCCTTCTCTTCTCCGCTCTCCTTACCTCTCAGGATTCCAGCTGCTCCCCTTAAACCTTTTACCGTTCTTTTCCCGTCTGCCTGGCCTCCACCCCCAAACTTTGGTATGGTTTATTTCTTCTTATCATTCAACTGTCAACTCCTCAGAATGGCCGTCCCTGATCACTCAATCAATCAGCTTATGGGCTGGCAAGAGAGCTTAGCAGGTGAAGATGTTAACTGTGCAAGCCTAAGTAGTGATGATCTGAGTTCCTTCCCTGGAGCCTGAGTGCAAAGCTGGATGGGATGGGATGGGATGCAGCTGTAATTCAGCACTGCTGTTTCGAGATGTAAGTCAGGACGACAGGATAACCTTGAACTTCCGATCCTCCTGCCTCCACCCCCTGAGCACTGAGGTTACAGACATATGTCACCATACTCTCTCTTTCTACATCGCTGCAGATAGAACCCAGGGCTTCGTGTATGATAGGCAAGCATTAATTAGTACCATCAACGACTGACATCCCTAGTCCCTTTAATACAGTTTTTATTTATGATATTTTCAAATTATAATGGGTTTCCTGGGACATAAACAATCATACATCAAGGAGCCATCTTTTGCCCAGATTGTATGAATGGTTTAAATGTGGGAAGAAACATTGAATTCTGGACCTGTCCTCAGAAGGAAGAAGCTTAGAAAGACTCAAAGCAGTATTTTATATAGATTTTCCAAGTCAGAGTTATATATTCCTTGACAAGCAAGTGCTAAGCTTATTTCATGTAGAACTCTTTCTCCATGAGCCCTTTGCCATCATTAGCCTATGGAACGGCTTTGAATTGCCTAAATATTTCTCCCTCTTAGAGTAACCTGACACACATTACCTCTCTGGTTTGGCTGATTCCAACTTCCTGGAGTTTAAGGTCCTTGAAAGTAGATTGATTATCTATTGAATCCACAGTCATGTTCTCACTGCCCAGAGCAGTCCCCTTGACACCTGGTGAGTGCTCGGTGAATAGCTGTTTTATCCAAAGCATGTTTGGGGCATGGTTTCCTTCATCTTCTTCAGAGTGCTTCCTCCGGAAGGAGCATCCTTCCTTAAGCCTTGCTTTCCCCGCTGTAGGCTGTCAGGGAGGACCCTGGAGCAGACAACACCCAGAACAACCGTTTGTTGGTGGGGAGGGCACTAAAGCACACGTGACATGATAGTGGGCGGGAACACTGGGCAGAAGGGTTTGAGAGGAGATGGGGAGCACAGCCAAGGGGGAGGAGGGGAAGGGAAGGTCAACCCAAACTAAATATGTGTGAAAACGCCATAAGGAAACCTACCTTGTAGGCCAAGTAAAGCAACAACAAAACCACACAGGCCAGGCAGGTATGCATTGCTCAAGACCGCTGAGGCTTAGTTGGGTGGTTGGTTTGTTTGTTTTTGAGACAGGGTCTCACTAGCTTGAGCTGACCTGGAACTCAGAATGTAGACCAGGCTGGCCTCTAACTCACAGAGATTAGGTTGCCTCTCCCTTGTGAATGCCGGGGTTAAAGGTGTGCACCCACCCACCCCCACCCCCGGGCCATAGTGGTCTCGTAGCATCGTTGGGGTAGGAATTGGGGCTCTGTACCAGGTCCTTCCTGGGTCTCCTCATCTGGAGAGGGGTGAGGATCCTTTGGGAGGGGTCTTTTTTCGTAGGAAGGTGTCACCATCAGAAAAGAGCAAATATTTGTTTAATGAATGAATGAGCAAAGAACAAGCTTGTTTATTTGTTTTTGAGACAGGGTCTTACTATGGAGTCCTGGCTTGTTTGAAATTCACTATGTAGACCAGGCTGGCCTTCAACTTTCAGCCTGGTCTTGCTTCTGCCTTCCAAGTGCTGGAATTGCAGGGGAGAACTGCCATATGTAGCTCAGGACAAATACTTTTTGTTTTGTCTCCAACCTCTCCAGTCAAGGATAGAAATTTTGAGGCAGGTTCATGATGCCAACTTCTGGTTTCTGTGGTTCATATTTTTGAACTACTTGTTATATCATTTATTCTCACTGCTGTTCTCCTGGAAGACTGTGCATGTGGAGGGGGTGGGGAAAGACCAGGAGTGAGGAAATGCAGCGGGGTTGATGGCTTTGGTGCTGGCAATAATGACTAACATTGCATTTTGATGAAAACCTGAATTGTAACATTTTCAGAAGTTTTTACATTTGATTTCCAAAATAACTCTATGGTGCAAGTGTTATTACTGTTTTCAGATAGATTAAACAGTTGAAAGGAGTCTCTTCCGATATCACTAAACGTGTATAAAATAGCCTTGATCTAAGCCCAGGTCTCATCACGACAAAGTCCATATTTATTCTATGGCTTCTGGCTGACACTGTAACAGGCCACTCCCCCCTCCAGACCTTAGTCTCATGTTTAGAAGGTCCCTGGATGACCTCCTAGTCACCTCCAAATTTAAATCCTATAATTTTATGAGATTAAAAAAAAAATGCTATCAGTTCAAATTGCTATCACTCCTAAAGTAATGAGTTAGTTTGTTTATTTGTTTGTTTGTGTCTTGAGACAAGATCTCACTATATAGTCCTGGATGACCTTGAACTCCTGCCTCTACCTCTTGTCTCTTGAGTCCTGGGATAGTTTGTGAGGTGCTAGGAATCAAGCCTAGGGTTTTGTGGATGCTGGTTTTGTTTTTGTTTTTGTTTTTGTTTTTTGTTTTTTGTTTTGTTGTTGTTGTTTTTCTTAATTCCACTAAGAGATTGTCCTTTGAACTTATTTGGGAAAAAAAAAAAAGAAATGAAAGGAATACAGCAACTTCGCTATATTTGAAGCTATGTGGAGCAAAATAAAAATTCATCTGTGGGCTTGGAGAGATAGCTTGTTTTACTGTTGTAAGGGACCTGAGTTTGGTTCCTAGCACCCAAGTCAGGCAGTTCACAATTCTTACAGCTCCAGGGAAATCCAATACCTTCTAGACTCTACAGGCACCTATACCCACATGCCCATACATACACAGACACATACTTATACACATAGTTAAAAAGTAATAAAAATAAATCTTAAAGTTGGGGCTGGAGAGATGTCTCAGTGGTTAGAGATGTCTCAGTGGTTAGAGATGTCTCAGTGGTTAGAGATGTCTCAGTGGTTAGAGATGTCTCAGTGGTTAAGACCACTTGTTGCTCTTGCAGAGGACCAGGGTGGTTCAAGTCCCAGCACCCACATAGCAGCTCACAATCATCAGTAACTCCAGTTCCAGGGGATCCAACACCCTCTTCTGGCCTCCAAAGATACCGGGCACACAAGTGGTGAATAGACACACATGCAAGCAAAACACTCATACACACAAAATAAAAATAAATACATCTCTTAAAAACAGATAAATTTGCAAATGAACAAACAAAAAGTCTGGGCTGTTGGGATGGCTCAGTGGGTAGCGACATCTGCTTCCAAACATGATGACATGCGTCTGTACTTAGAATCCACGTGGTGGAAGGAGACTCCTGAAAGTTGTCCTTTGACCCCTACATGCACACCATGCATGGCGCATGTGCTCTTACACCTACCCCCCAACACACACACACGAAAAATCATAAAATAAAATAACAATTTAAAAAGAAACAAACAATCTGATCATAGTGTCTGTAGTGCCAGAGGCGGAGGCTGTATCGTGAGAAATACATACAAAATATTGGGCCACCATGTAACTAAAAGCACCTCTCCAAAAATAGAGGCGAGGCCTGCTCTTCGCCTTATGAATTCCTTTTCTATATAAAACATTTGTGTTATTCATACAACTTTGCTTAAATAAAATGACTCAGTTGCTGTTGTGCAACAGACCCAGGAAACAATGTTTCTTATTCACGGGGCACTTTGCCTCATATTTTTATTTGTGGCCATCTAGATGTCAACTATTTTTTTATGACACATGAAAGAACTTGACACAGAATAAAAATCAGCACTTGTACATCTTTTTCTGAATTTTATTTTGCTAAAAAGAATCTACGTGGAACAAAAAAAGAAGAAGAAAAGAAAAAAGAAAAACAAGAAGAAAAAAGAAAAATAAAAAACATGCAAAATAGTTTTGTGCACACCTCTAACATATATTATAGTCCACTTCAGAAAACTTACCAAAAAGAAAGGAAAAAGACCCAAAACAAGATCACTCGGGCTGAAGTTCACATTACAAAGACCAGGTTGGTGGTACAAACACTGCCAGTACAGGTCATTCTGCGCCAGAGGTGAGCGCTCATCAGCACACTAGATTAACGCCAACCTAAGAGGTGAGCGCTCATCGGCACACTAGATTATCGCCAACCTAAGAGGTGAGCGCTCATCGGCACACTAGATTAACGCCAACCTTGGAGGACAAGACAACTGTGTTCCTCCTGCCAACTAGTGAAAACTGCTGCCAGTCACAGGAAAGCCAGGAGAGTTACCTGGACGTCACATAGCCTTCATCTCAACACTACGCAGACTCACCCTGTGTGCATTCTTGAAACTAGCTCCCTTTCCCGCCACCTTTAAACTGGTTTTTGGCAGTGCTGGGGACCAAAGCTGGAGCATCCTGAATGCTAGGAACATTCCGGGCCACTGGATTATACCTAATCCCTAAAATGTTTTGTTTTTTAAAAATAAGAGTCCTTCAAGAATATACATGAACTGTTAACTAGTTAAAAAACAACTATTTAATATAGAATGATAGTGATGCTTTCCTTTGGGATATTTTGCTTTTTTTTTTTTCTTAAAGATCCTACAGAAAATGATAAATTATACAGGAGTGGTGTCTGTGCATATGTATAAAAATCTTTAAAAAGAGATTTGGGAAACATAATGGTAGGGATTTTTATTTCCCTTCTTCAAGACCAGCTCTTGATCATTAAAGAGATACTTTTTCAAAAAAATCAACTGCTTAGAACCTTTGTTTAGTCAGCAAACTCCTTATCCCTATATATTTGAACTTTCCAAAAATAAGAGACCACATAAGGTGCTGTTCTGTATCTCTGAACAAATCTCCAGGCTGTCCCAGCAGGATTTACTCAGCCTGGAGCTTTGCATCTAAAGTAAAGAAGGGCTATGTGGTAGGAGCACAGTTCGGACCTTCCCATGCTGCTTGGTGGGGATTGGGGATTCCATGCTTGGAAAACTGTGGGCTTCCTGCCAAGCTATGTCTAACTGGGAGATGACAGTCTCCTGGAAGCCTTAGTTCTCAAAAGAAAGAGGTTGAATGCATTCCTCAATAGCCTTTCAAATGTGCAAAGAGAAAAATCCAAAACAGGAGCAAAGAGAGAGGGCAGTGAGTCCGCAGAGTGCCTAAATACTGTGCTCCGGTGAGAAACACACATACCATACACACACACACACACACACACACACACACACACACACACACACACACACACACCCTGTTTCAATGCCATTTCCAATGTACATCCTTCCTAACAGCACTTCCTAGAAAGGAAAGTGACCGAACCATTTCCAAACCCAGAAAGGAAGCCACTTTCTTTACCTCTACCTAACCCCATGTATCTATAAAGGACTCTGAAGTCCAGGTCTATTTCAATAAATATTCTAAATCCACTCAGCTATTTTCAAACTATTGTCCCAAATGGCAAACGTATCTTTTCCGCTCCTTGCAGCAGTCAGCATGATTACATAATCGGTGTGCTGCATTTAAAGGAGCAAGCAAAGAGCAGGTGCAGCCCTGAAGGTGGGCATCCTGCAGCCCGTGCTGAGGTTGGCAGGGAGCGAGTTCCTCTCCCCATGCACAGGTGGGCCTGAGAGCCTGTTCCGCTATCCCGTGTTTGAGGCCATCTCTCTTTTCTTTCCACTGAGCCTGTCTGAGGGTGGGGATGAGGAAGATCTGGTCTGTTTGAGGGTGGAGATGAGGAAAATGTATTTCATCCCCACCCACAACGTGAGCAGTCATGGGTGGGGGTGAAATACATGCACAGAACAGTCATGCTCAGGACCTTCTTCAAGCAAAACAAAGGTTAAGCCTGACCCAGAGTCCTTTGCAAACCTCTTCTGACACATTGTAAAGCAAAACTGGAGAACCCCACTTTCCCATGACAATTCAAAAAGGAGCAAAGCCTTCCAGGGACATTGGAGGTTTCAGGCTGAAAGGGGGAGATGCAGAGAGAGCTCATCTTTTCTCAGTTGTCTATGGCATGAGCCAAAGACCTTTCTGGAGCCTCTCCATTTGCCCAGTGGTGGCCCGACATCACTTCAGATGTCTGGGATCCCCTTACAGGTTTCACATTTGTTCTACATCTGAAGTCCAGTGTGCAGAGGAAGCCCTGAGATGCTGATGGAACAGCTCTTCCTTTTTTGGTGAGGAAGGCCCAATGGGTCTTAGCTTAGGAGCTCTCAGTGCTGGCTCTAAAAATAACCCCACAGCAAATACTGTTTGGCACATCATTATGTTTGCCAAGGAGCTCTCCAGAACTCTGCTGCGTGCTTTGGATTCTCCATAACTACCCTGAGCTCTGTCCCTACACTGGTGACAGTGATGGCCAGGGAGGTGTATCATTTTTGAACATTGCTTTTTGTTTTTCATTTTTGATTTCTTGGAATCCTTTCCCAAAAGTCTGAAGTGCGGTTCCAGCCATGGATTAATTACTAGCTGGGTTTAGAATCTTCTTTTGGCTTCTAGTCTGAACTATGCAAATACATAATCTGTGTGTACAAGAAAAGACTAAAATTAGACTTCAAAAGGCTCAATCATTCCTCTCCCCCTCCCCCTCTCCCCCCAGAAGAAACATCAGCTTCTTTGACTCCTTCATTGTCGGTAGCAGGAGCAGCCCAGGCCTGGCCCGCACCAGCCACTCTGGGCCCCTACACGTTGATGGCATGTGCATGCTTCTTGCACAGTGGTTTGTCTTTCTTGGAGTAGAATGGCTGACCCTCCAGATTCACATGGCAGACCTGGGCAGGAAAACAGAGTGGTGTGAGATGGGACCTTGCACAGTGGAAGACATGAGCAGAAGATTTCAGACTAGCACAACATGGCAGACACGCTCCTAATCCCAGCATTTGGGAGGCTGATGCAGAAGGGTCTTGAGTTCAAAGACTAAACTTGGCTGTATAGTGAGGTCCTCAGAACCACATAAACCAGGCTTGATGAGCGTGCCTGTAATCCTAACGCTAGGGAGGTGGTAGTAGAAGGATCAAAAAGCTCAAGGTCATTTTAACTGCTTGAAACTCAGTCTATAAAACATATAAATAAATACCAATGTAAGATAAACATAAACATTTTGAAAAGCATAGACTCAAATAAATTAAATCTAGTGGAATAGAGAATACATGTGATTAAAAAAAATGTCTAATTCCTGCTATGCTGTGGGGAGCAGATGAAGTCCTGAGTGAATGTATATTGTTGACATGAGCAGAGGCAAGTAAAGGACCCCAATGCCTCAGACCAACAGGAATAGTAAAGACTTCCCTGATCAGGCACAGGGAAATGACAAAGCAGTCCCCTGGTCTGTGTGCAGATGTTGACTGTGGTGGTTTGAATGAAAATAGCCCTCAGGCCCATAGGGAGTGATATTATTAGGAGGTGTGGGCTTGATGGAGTAGGTGTGGTCTTGTTGGAGGAAGTGTATCACTGCAGGTGGGCTTTGAGGTTTCAGATGCTCAAGCCAGGCCCAGTGGTTCACTCTCTCTTCCTGCTGCCTGCTGATCCAGATGTAGAACTCTCAGCTCCTTCTCCAGCACTGTGTCTGCCTGTGTGCAGCCATGCTTCCTGCTGTGATGATAACAGACTAAACCTCTGAACTGTAAGCCACCCAATGTTTTCTTGTATAAGAGTGGCTATGATCATGGTGTTTCTTCACAGCAATAGAAACCCTAAGACATTGACCATGTGTAGGAAATGTGTACCACAGCTTCCTTCTCCTGGATGTTTACAGCCTGAGACTACTCCCCTATAGATATTAGCTAAACCTGCCTCCCTGTTTAGCTCTATATAATAAGCTGGCCTCCTCGATTCAGATGTATGAAATAAACTCAGTTTCTAAGCTTCTGCTGGTGCCACTCCATCAGAGAACATGATGCACCCAATCCTAACTTTTCCGTTCACGTGTTTCCTCTTTCTTCTTTTCTTGTTGCCCCAGTTAGGACAATCTCTTAAGCCATGCAAGGTTGCAGCACTATCCAAAGTATATGTGGAAGTTAAGTCAATCTCCACAGAAAGGACTAACTTTTTTTTTTTTTTTTTTTGGTTTTTTGAGACAGGGTTTCTCTGTAGCTTTGGAGCCTGTCCTAGACTAGCTCTGTAGACCAGGCTGGCCTCGAACTCACAGAGATCTGTCTGCCTCTGCCTCCCGAGTGCTGGGATTACAGGTGTGTGCCACCACCACCCCGCGATTAACATTTAAGTATATTATATTAGTAAACTAAGAAAACATCAAAAATTATTCTCACTAAATAATTAAGAAGGGAAATAAAGATCTCTCAGAGATACTATACCTATTCATATAACAAAGTAGATAAGACAAAACCCTCAATATCTCATCACCCATAATATGTCATGAGAGTAACCAAAAATTTAAGGGAAAAGAAAGTACCCAATTAAAAAAATCAGTAGTGCCCAACGGGAATGAGGCCTTACTTGTGTACTACTAGGGGCATATTAATGCAGTTTCTTTCAGAAGGAAGGTAACTGTATACATTTTTGTGATACAGCTTCCAATGGGACGCAACCATGGGGGAAAAGATCAATCACACACAGAAAAGTGTGTTCAGGAAAATATTATATGTTAAAACAAACAAACAAACAAACAAACAAACAGAGAAAAACCAAAGCTCTTTGTCCCTATGATAAATATATACAAGAGTAGTTTGGATCTGGAGACATTCTGTAATGGAGGGAACCTAATTCATCCTTTCTGAGGTCACTGTAGGATGGTCTCATTTAAGTCTCACAAAAACTTCATCTGCCTTTTCTCAATTTCACAATTCAAACACTGGGACTCAGAGAGCCCAAATATTTTGCTCAAATCACAGATGTAGTACAGCTGGGAATCATGTCCAGGGCTGTAAGAACCCAGTTCCATGGTCCTTGTTCTTGAATTCCGCAGCAAAATAGGTTGTGTTTATTTGATATGGTTCTGAGCTCCTGGCTTGGCACAGAGGGTGTCTGAGGTGTTGGGTTACCAGTATGTGGGCCAGACCCCAAGTGGGCAAGAGTCAGCTTGGAAGTCACTCTGGCTGGGATGGGCTCCAGTACAGAGGGCACTGAGCATCCCTACCAGGGAACAGAATTAGAGGCTACATCTACATCCTGACCTCAAAATAATTCTGTTGTTAATGTGACAGAATCCAGAATCACCTGTGAGGGATTGTCTTGATTACATTAAGTGATGTGGGAAGACCTATTTCAATTGTGGGTGAAACCATTCCCTAGGCAGGGTGTCTTGGAGCGGATAAAATGAAGAGAGTGAGCCAAGCAACAGCAGCAAGCATGCATTCATCACTCTCCTCTGACTGTGACCAGCTGCGTCCAGCACCCGCTGCCTTGGCTTCCCCACCATGATGGACTGCATCATGAGATAAGATAAAACCTTTTCTCTACTGAGTTGCTTTATCGGAGTATTTTATCACAGCAACAGGAAAGAAACTAAGACAAGTTCTCATAAACAGGTATCCACAGGGGTGGAGATAATTTCCCCCTGAGTTGAGCATGGTGGGGAAGTCAAGGCAGCGGGGGCTGGAGGCAGCTGGTCACAGTCAGAGGAGAGCGGTGAATGCATGCTTGCTGCTGTTCCTCGGCTCACTCTCTCCATTTTATCCACTCAACAAAGGCTGGAAAGGGACATCATGATGGCCCAGTTGGGGAACTTATACTTGGATTATCTGGGGTTTCTAGTGTTTCGTGGAAGCCAACAGACTGAAAATTACCTGGGAACACACCAGGTAGATAGAGTGATGCTGAATGCAACCAGATTTGGAGGTGGTATGTCTCCTAAGGACCCATGTGTCGGAAGCTCACCCCACCTTAGCTTTGTAGCCTTTATTTGCTATGCTTTGAACTCGGGAAGTTGCTGGCTTGTTGCATTCCCAAATTGCTCATAACTGTTAGCTCATTTTCCTGTTGAGATTCTAGATTCCATGAAGACAGATGGAGACTTGCTTCGGGATACTCCTACTCCCCAAATTCCAGGACAATTTGGCAAGCTGAATTCCTCTAAAGAATGTCTACCAGGGCCAGTGGGATGACGCAGCAGGTAAAGCGCTTGCTGTGCTAGCCTGACAGTCTGAGTTCAGTCTCTGGAACCCACGCCATGGCAGAAGGCGAGAACTGGTCCCAGGAAGGTTTCCTGACTTCCACGCTCAGGCCGTGGCACCAGAGCGCCTACTCACATACATCATTCATACACAGATACTTAACACAATGCTAATACAGTTTAACATTTTTTAAAAAATATGCCTTCACAATAATAAAGTTTAAAAAAGAAAATATGTGGGAGATAGAGAGATGGCTCATCAGTTAAGAGCACTCCCTGCTCTTGCAGAGAACCAGAGTTCGGTTCCTAGCACCCACATCAGGCAGCTCACAACCACCTATAACTCAAGCTCAAGAAGCTCTGACTCCTTCTTTTGCCTCTGTAGATACCTGCAGTCACACACACACACACACACACACACACACACACACACACACACACAGAGGCATACACACACAGAGGCATAAATATAAACTTAAAATGGTAAAAATCACACACATACACATATATACACATATATGTGTGCATATAGATATATATTTTATGTGCATATATACATACATATATATATTTTATATGTATGTATACATGCACATACATACATACATGTGACTGAACAGGAGCTGGATAGTGCATACCTATAGTTCCAGCCCTGCCTTGGGAGGTAGAGTCTGGGAAGTGGGTAATTTTCCAGTTTATTTCAATTTATTGGCATCCATGGGCCACTAGAAGCCCTGTGTGATCTTTGGCTAAATACTGAGTTCAAGAGACCAGCCTGAGCTACATAAGACTTTGTCTCAAAAAAAAAATTAACAATGTTCTATACCCCCTGATTTAGCTGATGAAGAAACAGTACAACCATAAAAGAGCTGGTCTGAATCTTTCTTATTGTTTGGTTTGGTTGGCTGGTTGGTTGATTTGTTTTGTTTTTTAATTATCATTGTTGTGTGTGAAGGTTAAAAAAAGTCAGATGAAAACATATGCTCATTAAAAATGATTTGGAGCCAGGTGGTGGTGGTGCACGCCTTTAATCCCCAGCACTCAGGAGGCAGAGCCAGGCTGATCTCTGTGAGTTCGAGGCCAGCCTGGTCTACAGAGCAAGATCCAAGATAGGCACCAAAACTACACTGAGAAACCCTCTCTCAAAAAAACAAAACAAAACAAAACAAAACAAAAAAAAAGATTTGGAAGCTGGGCATTGCAGCACAAACTTGTAACCCTATCACTTGAGAGGCTGAGACAGGAGAATTACTTCAAGTTCAGCCAAAGCTATGTGGTGAGACCTTACTGCAAACAACAAGGGGATTTAGAGCCAGGCTTGATGGTGCACACTTGCACATCCAGAACTCAAGAGGCTGTCGGGAACTTAGGCCTATTCTGGCCTACAGAGTAGACACACAAACAAGGAAGTGATTGGGTAATGTAAAATGATAGACAGAAGACTCTTGAGAAGGAGGAGGAAGAGGAAGAGGAAGAGGAGGATGAAGAGAAGGAGGGGGAAAGTCTGATTTGGGGATTTAGTAAATGGCAGATCATTTGTCTGACACATACAGAGCTCAGGGTCAACTCTTAGCACTGAGGGAGAGAGAGAGGGAGGGAGGGAG